CTCCGCATGCCGGGTTGCTTCTTCAGGAACAGCACGTGGAGCGAAACGTCGGGCATCGTGACGAACAACGCGCGGGGGTCCAACGTCGGAGGGCTGCACGGCAGATCCATCGAAAGCCTACGCGGGTAGATGGCACTCATCACCCGATGATGTTTGTTTTTCAACGGTTTATTGAAGAACAACCTCCAACTTCCAGCAGGTTCTCATCAAGACTCCCAGCAGGTCTTCACAACGAGAAATCTATTAAGATTCCCACGCGTTAGTGTTATAATTTCAGATAAAATAAAAAAAAATTTCAATCCAAACGGAGCAGCGTCCGAACGATAACAGAGTGTACTTGTACGCCGCTCAGAGGCCACAACTATCGATCGTGCGTTGCTTGGGCGGCGGCGTGGCAATTAAAGGCGTCATCATTAGGCGCGTGTGTGGCACGAGTGAACCCTACACACCACGAACGCCACGTCATCTCGATCGGCGACGATTTCTCCACTGCTAGACGATCGTCTCCTTAAGCCTTCCCCTGTCTGCCGTGGTCTTGCGGTGTAAAAAAAAATCCAGTTGGCACCTGCACACGCGGGGCAATCTAATCGCTCCATCTCCGTGACAGACGTCTGCTCTGACGCGTTCCCTCTCCTTGGTTGCCAATCCTTGGTTGTTTTCGACCACCGGAACATCGTCTGTTCTGATGACACATCTGTGCCCAGGCCCGCTCAATTTTCTAAACGGCCAATGCAACGTCTCCAACCTGCCAATGTTCTCTCTCGTCCACGCGTTCCTCCTTGTAACGTAATTCTAAGCTTACATCTCTCCACTATTTCAGTTTTGGTTGCATTACAGAAATATGAAACAATGCCTCACGTGTACCGATTTGTATGGTTGTGCTGTTAGTCCGCACGACATAACGTACGGCCTAACACCACACTGACCAAGACAGATGAATAATTTGCCTGCAAGAAGCATGTTGTTGAACTTCTTTTGCACCTCACGTCGCCAACCGTGCTAATCAGAGGTGCAGGGAAACGACAATAGCAACAACGTGTTTGGCATTTATCTTTGACAACCCACACCAACGGTTTTGTACCCCCCCCCCTCCTCCAATCGTCACGCAGTCTCAACCGCGGTCCCCAGTCAGCTGTGACGACGTCCTCTCGTGCCAAGCATACCTCGACATTGGCATTTAGATCCCAACGCATTGCCAGGCAAAAGACCAGAATGGTTATATTCTTTGGCTCTTTCGGTAAAGTCACGTAGATACCTATCTACGTGACTTTACCAAAAGACCCAAAGAATATGAATTCCTGCAGTCACGAAAGCTTTAAGTCAAGATTTAACGGAATGGTTACCTGCAATTTCAGTTTCTAGACTGATCGGTTGACTGCGAGATAGCTTGGAGAGGACTTCATCCAGCAGTGGAAAGACCATGACATGATGATGACGATGATCACTTTGAAGCACGTAAAGCCCATTAACCGGATAGAAATACAACATGTCCACTGAAAATGCATGATTTTTTTTTGGTTTTGCAAAGAAGACTCATGGATGAAGTGCCAAACGCTGGAAATGTGACCGTGAAACAAATTCCACATTGCTTCTTTAGGTAAGACAAGAGGCAGCTGTAGTGTAAAAGCTTACAACGGATTGCTTAGGCCGAGCTCATAGCGGGCAAGTGCAGTCACGCGGAAGTGAAAACCCCTGTCGCCCCGTTTAAACAAAGTGCCTGTGACCAGATCACTGGGGGATGCTCTCGATCTCGTCGGGGCTCGGAAGCTAATCGGAAGGAGCGTGGGTAGTGCTTTGGTGGGTGACTACCACGCACCCACGCACCCACGCCAGGTTACGATCGGCGGCTGTGGGGCTCTGCGACGCAGCGGTCGGCAGAGGTTCAGTATTGAAAAATTCCATCGTTGTACTGTACTCATATTCTCCCCAGGTCTACACTCCCCCACATTCGCCAAACCCGCCACCGACCAGCACAGTGACGTAGGGGACGCAATGGACACACGTGGTAGTGTTTCTCCGCACGTAGGGGACGCAATGGACACACGTGGTAGTGTTTCTCCGCACGTAGGGGACACAATGGCGCTTGGCCTTTGCACGGCGATCCGTCCGTGCGCACGGATAGACAACACACAGATCACGGGGCTGCAAATGAACGAAAAACTCAACGCAGAACGCAGAATAAATAAGAGACGCATGGAATAGTGCAAGTGGGTCACGGGCGGACAGCGAGGCCCTTTCACACGAGCGGCAGCTCGGCCGGCAGCCGAGGACGGGCACCAGTCGCGTCAACCGGATCGCCAAGGAATAAACAAACTTAATAAATAAACAAGAGACAATCGCCTCCTTCACACAATCTGTCTGTCAACACGAAAAATACGCCAAGTTTTACTTGATACCGTATACACATCCCATCAACTGCAAGGCCTTCTGGGAGTGCATCACTTCAGCAGAATTGGTTCAACGCAAGAAAAAGTCTGGGCCAGGTGTGACAGTCGGTGTCTCAGCAGCAGCAGAGTGAGGCTTGCTTGAACCAGTGCTGGTAAACTGCTGGTCGTTGATAGGCAGACCCCCCCCCCCCTGTTAGCGATGGGTCCTAGTTCAACAACATTCCGCAAGACACAACACAGATTAATCATTCTCCTTCACATATCTGTCCTTCCAAAATGTTTTACACATCCCATCAGCCACGAGCAATGAAAATGTTGCATTGACATCAGGTGTCAACTTAAATGTCCAACTGGGAGAGGTGGAGACTGCATTGAAGGCTAGCTTCAGTGTTGAGACGTGGCTGGTACCGGCCTGTGGCCAATCCGCATGGGACGCGCCCAATTCCGTCACTTCTCGAAAGCTAAGCAGCCTGGGGCCTGCTTGCCTCTCGAATGAATGACCGCTGTGCAGACGGTCACAGGCTGATGCTGTGCGATGTGGTGGGCAGCAGCAGAGCACTGAAAAATGGACCGTTGTACTGTACTTATATGCTGTTCTCTTTCACCAAACCTGCGCTGACCGGTGTGTATGTACGTACGTTGACCTTTTTCGCACCGTACGTAGCCAACTGTGCTAATTGGAGGTGCGTGGGACTGGTGAAGAATGGTCAAGTATGGTCAAATAACGGCCACAATCCGTACGCCACAGGGAGGCCATCGTCCAGCAGTGGACTGACAAAGGACCGCATGCGTGCGAGATGCACGTTTGCGCAAGCGCTCACGTGCGACGGGTCCCGGCGACTCCCACGTTAGCGCACGCTGCCGAGAGGAGCAGCACAGGATTCAGTTCAGCCACCAGCTAGCCCGGTGCTCCTCCAGGATTTATACAATTGCCTTCGCCAGGGCTTCCAGCAGCCAACCGCCATCTGTAGCCCCCACCGGCAACCCCCCCCCCCCCCACCACTTTGTTAGCCGGTGACCAGGCCCCTCTGGCAATGTGAGTCCTAGGGCAGTCGCACCGCCTGCCACCTCATAGCTAAGCCACTGACAAAGACACAGGTCCCCCATGCAGCCTTAACAGACCGATGGGGCAAATGCCGCTAGCGAGCACCTATGAAGGCCGGCACGGCACACACACCACCTGTGCTTCTCTCACTGTTACACCTACATACGGCAGCATCAACAACGGCACACGACCTAAATCGGAACACCTTGCAATCGCACTACGTATTTTTTTTGTAAAGCCCCACTGAGCCACAAGACTCGCTTTCTAGAGGGTCCTGTCGCATTGGGATGTTTGGCCAATTCCTTTTTAAAAACAAGGAGCGTTGTGTGGAAGTAACCCGGATAAAACCCACCACTCACATGAGGGGATAACACCCATAAGGTCCGTACAGACTGGTTCGTGAACCCACTTACTGTACTGCCACGGGAGTTTCACATTCTCGTTTAACCGTCCGTCCAGAGTGTCAGCTCGCAGGCCTGCACAGCCACGGCTCACGGAGCACCATTCGTGCGTACACCACACTTCTGTCCCGGCAGAAAAACACAAGAACCCCCCCCCCCCCCCTCTCTACAAACGGAAGCAACGAATGCTGTTCGTTAGCAACTATCAGGGTCACAAGTGGGGTCAGCGTGGAAAGCACTGCTCATTACAACCGAGCCATGCCGAGCCAGGACCCAGCGCGGTTCAGGAGGGGCCCGGTTGTTTTTCTACTGCGGAACCCGAGACAGCGTGTCCTCACAAAGTACCGAGCAACGTCACACGCAACGGGCGCGTCGTTTAAGCGCCCCCCCCCCCTGGCCCTGCTTGGCTCTGAGCCAGCATCAGATGTCTTTGTGAGGCCAGCGTATTGCGGTCTGGTTCCAGCTCGGCTCGGCAAATAGCCAACCACTCGTGCCGTCATGGCCCCACACTGGCTCGGCTTGGATTTGCCAGTGCAAAAGGTACTCATTGGTTTTTTCGGTAAAGTCACGTACACCAAGAGGCAAGGAGAGGAAAGACAGACAGAGAAGCAAGGAAAAAGGGCCGGAGGGATGAACAGAGAGGCATTAAATAAAAAAAATAGAGGTGTGGGGAAGGGGGGAGGGGCCGAAGAGAGCAGGGTGGCACGGCAGCATAGGTGGGGGGAGGGGTAGGAGGACGCAAGGGGTACAATACGTTTAGAACAGGACTGTAAAGGTAACTTCCCTGTAGAAGTGTGTTAATAAAGAATTAAAGCTTTCGTGACTGCATAAATTACTCATTGTTTTTTCCGTGCCTCTTGGTGTCTCTGTATATGTATTTCTGCTGACTTGTACCTCGTATTTGTTCACTTTGTCTATGCTGGTATGTTCAATCCAGAGGATGAACACGAAATTTAGCACTCTTCTGAAATTCGTGGTCTGCCAGGTGTCTGTGTTGTTGGCCTGACTGGTTTTGCATCACAATTTTTTCTTAGGTTTGTTGAATTTTCGTCTCTCATCTTGTTGTATTTACCTCTGTGCAGTTTGGCGCTCTCTATGTGTTGCGTTGGTGTCGCCCTGTGTGCTCCCTCGCTATTTGTTTTTTACACCTGATGAAGATCGCTTGTGTTGCGGTCGAAACGTCGTGATTGATTTATTTTAATATAATTTTATGGTATTTCTACATACGTGACTTTACCGAAAAAAAACAATGAGTAATTTATGCAGTCACGAAAGCTTTAATACTTTATTAGTACAAAAGGTGTCTCGAGCATGCACGCCGGTCCACCTTTTGTCTCCCCGCTGCCAAAGAATACATCACACCAGGGAGCGAGGTTTGGCTTAGTCGATCTTGGGAAGGCCAAGAGTTCGTTGAGATGTTCAGACTGTTGTTCCCGCAGATGTTGTGAGAGCCTCGGAATTGAACCTAGGTTGCCGAGATGGTGGCATGGTATACAAACCACTGCAACACCACCAACCCACATTTTCCCCAACACAAAAGACAAAGAACCCCATGTACCTTTTAACAGAGCGATGGGGCAAGTGCTGCTGGCGAGCACCTATTAAGGCCAGCACGACACACTAGGGGGTGATTTGGACAGCACCACCCCTGTCCACCTTTATCTCTCCAGTGCTGATGTTTGCACATTGCACCAGGTACTCCTTTAAGGCCGACTCGACCTAGGGGAGGCCTGGGACCGGTTCAGATATCATTCGCCACAAGGGTTGCCACCTTTTAAGTGCTCAAAGATGCACGGTGGATCATGAGAAGATCGAGAATATATCTCACAATCGCGAGAGGGGAGAACTTTACGTGAATGCACTGCTTTAGGAAGCAGTGCATCGCAACGCAACATGACTATGACTGTCCTGGGAGGACTCGCAGGTATCCCAGGACAGGTTCGTTAACAAGACGATGATCGTGGGAAAACCAGGACAGATAGCAACCATACTTCTTCACCGATGTTATCCATGGCCGGGAACCGAGCTCAGGTCTCTGGGTTCGTAGCGCCGGTGCACTAACCACCTCGTTGCCGCTCCCCACAACGAACGCACGCACGCACGCACGCAAACAGGCACACACACACACACAAACAATATTCCTGAAGATGATTTCAACCTCTTAAAAAGAGCATGCAATAAATACGTTTGTTGGTGAAGGGCTGATTACAATGTACATCAATATGCCTTTGGAATCACCGACACAACTTGCCACAAATTGCAATTGACCAGGATGGCCTTTGGTGATCAAGAGGAATCTTGGCGATGACGATGCGTTTACCTTTTCACAGCTCAGTTAATCAAGGATACACCAGCAATATATGTACAGTGCAGGTCATTATAAAACGCATGCACACACACACACAAGTACATACATATGCGTAGATGCGTTACGTACAGACACACACGGAGAGGCCCCCTTTAACTCACCGGGGAGACACGAACGTGCGCCAAGGGATTTTTGTGATTCCTCTGCAGCTGCCGAGCCCCGCGAACGCTAAACCGCACCGAGTACAAACGCCAGGCGTCTCGGTGGACTTATCAAGCAAAGACTTTTGGATCGGGCATCGGACTAAAAAGACGCGGTCACCACATGGCGCGCTTTCGGATGCGCTTCCTTCGGCCGCTTGGAACGCTCTTCTGATATTATAGCGCCACTGTGAGCTATGCACTTTTAAATCATCTCGAATGCGAACTAATTTCTTTAAAAATGCTTTGTGTGTTTAGGTTGTCCTTCCCCCGCACCTTCGATTAGCACGACTGGCTACGTACGGCGCAAAAGAAGTTCAACGCACACACGTACGTTTGTGTAGCACGCGTAAGTATGTGCAGCACGCGTACGTATGTGCAGCACGCGTACGTATGTGCAGCACAGCACGCGTACCGTCGCTTGGCTTTCGTGAACTCGGTGGGACGAGTGCGGAAGCGTCCGTTTCGCTTTGAGCGGAGATCGCGTCTCAATGCAGACGTGGACATTGCCAAATCGGCCCGATTTAAATGCCTTCCCCCAGCCATTCGAGCAGCGGACTGCCTGCCCCCGTCCAAGCTAAACTCCTCTCTCTCGTCCTCTGCCAAGAATAGGCTGCCTCACGTCTCATTACAAAGCAGACGTGCCCACTGCTGCTGTACCGCACCTTGGCATGCAGGTGCATTGTGCTGTAAAATATCCCCAAGCTGATGTTGCATTATTGGCATTCAGTTTCACAAAGATTCATTACAATGGCAGCCATAAGTGATATAAATGCACAATTCTAACAGTGCCATCTTCCATTTGCTTTCATGACGATGACATGAAACCCAAACGGACCCACACGAACTCAAAAGAGTCCCAAACCCCAACGAACTCACGCTAACCCACAGGAACCCACAGCAACCCACAGCAACTCAAACAAACTCGCACAAACCCACAGGAACCCACAAATCCAACCAAACCCACACTACCCCACTCGGAACCCACTCAAACCCACAGGAACCCATACTAAATCATAGGAACCCACAGCAACCCAAACAAACCCACAGGAATCCACACAAACCCACAGGAACCCACAGGAACCCACACAAACCCACCGGAACCCTTCGGGAATCCAAACAAACCCACAGGAACCCATACTAAATCATAGGAACCCACAGGAACACAAACAAACCCACAGGAACCCACACTAGCCCACCAGGAACCCACAGGAACCCAGACGTTGCAGGCGGTGGGGGGAGACCATAAGGGTAGACTGCGGATGTTGAGCGTCGCCTGTGCAATATCCGAGGCATCTGGCAGAAGGAAGCGATGGCGAGGTGCTGCTCGCATCAGTGGCGTTAGCCGTGACAGCCTCTTCACTTGACCAAGACCCCAACAAGTTTAATTTGGACCGGCACTTCATTTGACTAAATTGCAGCCGTGAGAATTAAAACATCAGGTTGCCCGTCATGCGACGAATATTAGTGCGTGTGGCAGGGCTAATGGGAAAGTGTCGCACGCGACGGTGAGGGGAGCAGAGATCAACTGAATGGGGCCTCGGGCGGTAGCTCCGTGACACCCGCTTGCGTGGAGCTGTTCTCCAACGCGATGGCGCTGCGCTGCTCTACGAGCTCTCCGCCTGCTTCTGTCATCTCGTGACACCGAAGGGTGGTGGGGGGGGAACCGAAGCAAAAAAAATAAACCATTCAACCGAATAAATAATAAATAAGCGATAAACCGGCGTACCATTATAATTGCACACGAGCTCCAATAAATAATGTGTACGTGTGGGGCCTGTACGCCCGTGGACCGGGGAAGGCGGTCGAGACCCCCCAAGCAGGGGGCTACGGTGCTGCCCGTTGCGTATTTGCCGCTCGCGGCACGCCGGTCTCACCGCGCCGGTGACGGACGGACAGACGGACGGACACGCGGACAGAAAGACAAAAGCGTTCCACTCCCTGGGCCGTCTCCAGCTTGTACCATGCCGATCAACAGCCCTAAGAGCCGCACAGCACAACCGCGAAAAACCAACAGTCATAGCCAGCATCGTCATAACGTCGACAGCCAGACTCGGATCATCTCCATGCCCCACCGCAGCTGCCAAATGGAATTGACAGCTACTAACTAAACTAAACCATTTTTATTTTACTAGGTAAGGCCGACTGAGCTAAAGAGCTTTTTTCAGAAGCAGCCTGGCCATGTTTCTAAATGTGGAGGGAAAAACCGCAGAAGCCGGAGAAAAATCCACACGACCACGGGAGATAACGTGCAAACTTCCAATACATAAGCGTTCAGGGTCGGGATCGAACCCACGACCGCCTGTATAACAGGCGAGGTAGAAAACATCTCGCCACAGCAAACAGCACTGTCTATTTCCCCGCCACCACTCCAAGTCCTGCCCCACCACACACGACCGTAACTCTCATCCTGTCACCACCGGCACCACCGCCACCACGTCGATTTAACCCACGTACCACAACAGCCACACACACCACAAACAGTACCCGTACAGCAGCACACCACTCACTCGCACACCATCACCACCGGTAATACTGCCCCACACCACAAGCACCACCATCCCACACACCGGCACGGGCAGGAGAAGACTCGGCTACCGGGGGGCCGGTGTGGCCCGGCGGGTGGGGGATGGGGGGGGAGCTGAGCGTGGGAGGAGCTGAGCGCAGGAAGTGGGCGTGGTCCCGCAGGGGGGAGGTGTGGTCACTTCTTGCGCTGGAAGACGTTGGCCAGCATGACGCTGGAGGTCGTCAGCTGCCCGACCTTGCTCAGGAACTTGGTCTTGGCGTCTTCCGCCGAGCCCAGTGCGGCCGGAAACGAGAGGCCGCTGCCGCGGTGGGGAAAAGCGTGGGGCGTCAGCGACAGGACGTGGCAGCAACGTTGTTGCGAACCGCACGACGTGGCGGCGATGACGACGGGTGGTGTTTGACGATGAGGTGTGGAGGATGACGACTTCGATGTTGATTATGGTTGCCGCGACGTGGCGATGCTATGACGTATCATACAATATGAAGAGGCAAAGGTGCAGCTCTGCAAGTGCTTGCTTATGCCACTGCTGATGAAAGGGCCTCCCCGCTAGAGGGAGCTATGGAAAGCCCCACTCGGGGGTACTTTATACCGACGATAAGAGGCTCCACAATAATGCTATCGTCCGTTTGGCAAACATCCTCATTCCGCGATTCTCTTTCCTCATTCCTTATATATAATTAATGTACATTGATGTGGGATGCGATTGACATGAATGATGCAATAATAAATGTTATAATTGTTTCAAGGACCATGCATATATTATCATAGTATGTTTTTTGTTTGCATTTTGACTGCAGGTATTGTGGTTAAGGCAGACGTGAATCCTCGTAAAAAGGTTTCAGTTTTGTTGCCAGAAAAAAAGGGGAAAAGCCCTATTATTATATTTATTATAATTGTTATCATTCTATATCTTAACATATTTATTTTCCTGACGTAAAAAACAAAAAAATTCAAGTTCTAAATGAAAACCTATCACCTATAAAGGAGAGTCATAGTTTCATGCGGTAGCGCGTTCTCCACTGGTTGCAGAGGTTCACGGATCAAATCCGGCAGCCGCCCTGGTTATTACCGTGAGCGTGTTACCTGTTAAACAATACCCTCCCCGTCTGCTCCACAGCGGATGCTGACGACCCTGTGATGTCATTCATACAGAGTCGGCCATCGTGTGCCACCGTCAGGGTCCAAATTTGCCAAATTTGAAAAATGCCACCGCAAATGATAAACATGTCACTTGTGTTATAGACCGCCTTTCGTATTAAGATGTCTCAAAGCGCCGCAAGTAAAAAAGAAACTGACGATAAAATCCAGTGGGAACACAGATGCACCCATAGGAAGACGCTGTGTAGATCCGCACTGCACTGCACCGACCGCGTTGTTTGGAGCCCTCACCTCGCGTCCGCGCTGCTCTTCGCCTCCAGCTTCAGCTCCCACTCGCGAATCATCGTCGCCACGATCACCTGTTGTGCGCGCACAAAGATCCCCCGCGTTGCCACACACACTGCTGGGGCAAGTGCTGTTCGCAAGGGGGCTAAGTGAAAGAGCTGATTGGTCAATTCATTAATTCAAACACGATTTCAATTCTGCAAACGGTGCAAGATCAGGTGCATCTTTCGCAGCGCTCCTCCATCCTTTTTCCTTCTGATAATTATCAAGGGATGGAATTACCACGCAATTGCTGTGGGTGTGCAATTAATTTAAATTACCCCTGCAGCATCCCCTGCCAGTTAGCTTAATGAATTACGACTCTTTAAGCCGGCGCTAGCAGCAGTAGCTTTGCCGAGCAGAGCGAGGTGGGTCCATTGCCCCGTGGGGTCGCCACGTACCTCGTGCTCCGGGGAGAGGAACTCGAGGTCGCAACGGAGGCAGCGCAACCCCGGCAGGAAGTGCGTCGTCATGAGCTCGTCAGAGATGACTGCGGTCGTTTGTCAAGGATCACGGCTCACGCGGCCGCTCCACGTACGCACGCACGCACACACACGCACGCACACGCGCAAGCGCACACGCACGCACGCACACACGCGCATATGCACGCAAGCCACGCACAGCCACCAGGGCAGCAGTACGGCACAGTGGTAACACCCGCACCTCGCAGCAAGAAGGACCTGGATTCCTTGCCGGCTCTGCCACCTTTGCTTGGAGTTTGTATGTCCTCCTGTTCTGCAGAGTGTGTGACTGAGTGTGTCTTTGAGCTGGAACAGGTGATGCATCTGCCAGTCAACATCAGTCAGTCAAGCCATGAATCCACAAAAGAAAAGGGATTCTTTTTTTGGAGCGGGCAGAAGGTGGGGTTGGGGGGGCAGCACATCGCGGCGCAAGGATACAGCAGCAGGAGAGGGCGGAGTACGCCTCGAAGAGCTGCAGCGCCATGCCCATGCGCTTGCCCTCGTTGTGCTGGTGATTGTTGGCGGCCGCGAGCTTGTGCAGGTGCGGGATCACGACTGCCCAGGGAGAAACAAAGACAAGGCCCCCTGCGTAACCGTACAGGCCGTCGGGACGAGGGCCGCGGGGCGAGCACCTCAGTCGGCACCCACGCACGGCCGACTGCCCCGCCGCTGATGTGTGCACCCCGCACCAGGCGCTCATTCAAAAAGCTCAGTTGACCGGGCAGAGGCCCAGGATCTGTTCAGATATCACTTGCCACTGATGTTGCCCATGGTCCGAAATCGAAATCAAGTGGCCGGGAGCTTGTGGACCGTGTGGTCCGTGCGAGCCAAATGTGGCGTGTGTGGACGAGGCGCTTTGCGTGGTGTGTGCCACGTGGGTAGTGTAGCGGTTAGCGCTACGCTGCGCTACGAACCCGGCGAACCTAGTTTGATTCTCGCTCACAACCACCGACACCAGTGACGATTATCTGACCTCGTCATGGGCCTTCCTTAGGTCGACTCAGCATCAAATGAGTATCTGGTGTGGCGTGTAAACATCACCACCGGGCGTGGTGTTGGCCACCCACCCCCTCGTGTGCCGTGCCGGCCTTCATAGGTGTGTTGTATATATATGCCTTTTCCAAAAATGAATATTAAGAGTGATATTGCCTCTTTTGAATGTGACAGTTCCTGGTCGACATATATATGCGTTCCCTGCATGCCGAAAGTCGGAAACCCCAGATGACAAAGCCAAACAGCACCAGAATGGCAAGCAGGGAAACAGAACACAAGAGACCTTGATGAGATGGGCATGATGAGAACACCCAGACGGAGGGAGTTATGATAGGGAGGGGAAGGCTGTTTCATAATGAACACGTGGCTACAGACACACACGCCACATCTATGGGCAATCAAGTTGGTCTGTGTTCACACAAATCCTGGGATGACCTTCGGAGGGAGTATGATATGGGTTATGACATCAGGTGCCAAGATATCTGCGGAGCCAGAACCAGGGATGAACTGAGGACGACCTTGTGGTGCACCACAGGTGCAAAGGTTGGAGGAAGGAGCTTTGGGATTTTTATTAATTACATAAGATAGGAATTTCTATATAACGGTATACAAAAATCATATTAGTCAGTCCTGCATTGGCAGATTCTGGGATTTGCCCTCGTGACTGGCAACAGAGTGAGTTCATGCTAAGGCAGACTAAGTATCGCTGAAAGTTTTATTTGAGTCAATTGCAGACTCAAGGACTTCGAGAAGTTGTACTGTACAAAGCTAAGAGTTGTGATAAGCTAAGAGGCGTGCGAAGGAATTATAAAATATTGTGATAAGCCAAGACATGTGAGAAGTCAAGTGGAGACTCGAGTCATACACCGATATCGAGTGTGCATGAAATGTTGTCCAAGCTATAGGCTGGAAAAATTATGTCGGTCAAGCCCAGTGACTGACATTGCATGAGAGTGTGGAGAGGCCGGGAGAGTGTGGGCACAGCAGGCCTCAGCAGCGGCCTGCTGAGCAGCAGCGGCCTGCTGAGCAGCAGCGGCCTGCTGAGCAGCAGCGGCCTGCTGAGCAGCAGCGGCCTGCTGAGCAGCAGCGGCCTGCTGAGCAGCAGCGGCCTGCCGAGCAGCAGCGGCCTGCCGAGCAGCAGCGGCCTGCTGTGCCCACACTCTCCCGACCTCTCCACACTCTCATGCAATGTCAGTCACTGGGCTTGACCGACATAATTTTTCCAGCCTATAGCTTGGACAACATTTCATGAACACTCGATATTGGTGTATGACTCCACTTGACTTCTCACATGTCTTGGCTTATCACAGTATTTTATGATCATTCCAAGGGGGTTGCTGGCACACCAAGCCACTCGCATGTCTGCTGACAGGCAACGTGCTGGGCCAGCGTGTCCGCAGCGTGCTCCAACTGCAGATCGAGCCTGGCGTGCAGACAACACCGCGCGCGGCGCGGCAGCCGATGGCTGACTGGAAGCGTGCCGACCCGAGAGCCGCGAGCGCACCCAGCCGTGGATCGAGCATGACGCGCAGACAACACCGCCAGCGAGCAACGCGGCCACGAGATCACCCAGCCGTGGATGGAGCATGACGCGCAGACAACACCGCCAGCGAGCAACGTGGCCACGAGATCACCCAGCCGTGGATGGAGCATGACGCGCAGACAACACCGCCAGCGAGCAACGTGGCCACGAGAGCACCCAGCCGTGGATCAAGCATGACGCGCAGACAACACCGTTGTGGGACTGGAGGTATTTCTCGGGAAGAGAGAAGATAGAAGATGGGACAATAACTTTACACTCACTCGCCATTTTTAACTGTACCTTGTAGAGTTTGTGGGCCAAGAAGAATCTCAGCTTGCATCATCGCACACCGTAACAAACTAATTGTGTATTGTCGCATCACCATGAGCCATTAGCCGGGTTTTCTTTTAATCGCGTGATCGTGAGATCTGGCCATTGATGCTTTCTAACCATTTGGTACGTATTTATGAGCACGCATTTATGAGCACGCATTCTGGACAAATATTGCCACTTTGAGGTGTTTGGCGCTTGTTCTCTTTAATCACGTGATCGTGAGATTTGACCACTGATGCTTTTATCTGATCATCCAGTACGGATTGACGAGTACGTATATTTGCATGGGCACTGTTGTTGCTATTCTGATAATAAGTGTGTGTTTTGGATATTCGAGTAAGTTGATATTAAAGTTGCGTAGATTAAAGAAGGTCCGAGTGCTTCTTTCCTAACTAGTGCATCATCGTCTCAATTACGAGAACGGTATCATGCGGTGAGATCTGGATGTGAGACCTGATATAATTACACATAATCGATCAGCGAGAATCAGTAATTGATCAGCGAGAATCAGTAATCGATCAGCGACAATCAGTAGTCGATCATCGAGAACCAGTAATGTGCGCCGTGTGTGTACGTGCCACGCGTGTGTGCGTGCCACGCGTGATCGCCGGTACTCACACTCGTCGCGGAACTTGGGCTCGGCGTTGGGGCCGACGCGGCCGAACGAGTGCACGATCTCGGTGTGCAGCGCGTGCGCATCGCGGTATTGCGCGTCCTCCAGGAACGACGACAGCTGCATCTTCACCCGCTCCAGCAGCTGGCTCACACAAACAAAGGCAAAGATCCCCCGTATAGCCTTCATCAGGCTGTTGGGGCAAGTGCTGTTAGCGAGCAGCTATGAAGGCCGGCCATGGCATACGAGGGACGTGGGTGGGCAACACCACGCCCTTTGTCTCCCTAGTGGCGATGTTTTTACGCACCGCACCAGGTACTCATTTGAGGCTGAGTCGACCGAGGGGAGGCCCTGGACCGGTTCAGATAATCATCACTGGTGTTGGCCGTGAGCGGGAATCGAACTCGGGTTCAATCAAAGATTGATCGATTGAGGTTACGTGCTAACCGCTGCGTCACCGCCACCCCACGCATACGCACGCTGACACGCAGACACACGCACGTTTGAAACAAAACTCATGAAGAGCCAGAGATGCACCTCGTACTGAAGGCAAAGTGTAGGAGCGAACCAGCTCACCTCCTTCTGGGTCACCGACTCCATGATGGTGCCGAACGCCGGGACCGTGGCGATCCGCACCGAGCTGCGCCCGGCAAGCACAACAACAGGGAGGGTCAAGTCTGGTGATTCGGCGTCGCCACCGTGGCCGCGTGTCGTTCACGGCGCGGCGACCTAACGCGGTCCGTGCGATTCGAACCGAAGACACAATCACGGGGCAGGGGGTGGGAAAGGATGACCGGGACACGGCCGTTACAACACCGCAGGGACTGCGCCGGCCACTCCCGCGGCGTGCGGGGGTTGCCGGCGCGGACTCACATCTCGGGGTCGCTGGCGAGCGTGATGAGCGCCGGCACCACTCGCTGGGCCACGAGCGTTTCGTTCACTCCCTTCACCAGCAGCTGGGCGCCACGTGTGGCCACACACACACGCAGAGAGAGAGAGAGACTCGGAATTGAACCTGGGTTGCTGAGGTTGGTGGAACGGTATACAAACCACTGCGATGACAACCCACATCCTTCCCCAACACAAAAGACAAAGATCCCCCATGTAGCCCAGGCAAGCTGTCGGGGCAAGTGCTGTCACCTACGAAAGCTCGTAGCCAAGTATGACCTGGTGTGTCTATGTGTCTCCGTGTGTGTAGGGAGACAAAGGCGGCCGGGAGTGGTGCTGGCCACCCACCCCCTCGTGTGCCGTGTCGGCCTTCAAAGGTGCTCGCTAATAGCACTTGCCCCTACCGTCTGTTAAGGCTATACATGGGATCTTTGTGTTTTGTTTGCGCATGTCTGCCCGCGCGTGTCTGCGTGTGCGCACGGTCACCTCGAACATGCTGGCGGAGGTGCGGCGCACGTGTGCCGAGGTGTGCACCACGCCGTACCACAGCACCGTGAGTAGAGACTCGTGATACACGGGGTTCGCCCTGCGGGGTCGCAGCAGGGGTCACAGGGGCAGGGGTCACGGGGCAGGGTTAGGCTCAGGGTTCGAGTTGGGGTTAGGATAAGGGCAGAGGTGGAGCTATAAGCTGCCCAACTGTTAATCTTTTTAAATAGGGCCCTAGTGTCATGGGTTAGGGTCAATGTTGAGGTTCGTGATTGGGGCTCTGCTGGAAGGTCCAGGGCCTTCTCTGTCGTCTGTCATGTGAATCGCTCACCCGGCAGTGAGCGTCAGCTCACCCAACCACCCACTCACTCACCCACTCACTCACCCCAGCTCAAGGAATGCTGCTTTGAGGCTGTCGAGCGGGGAGGAGGTGAGTGACAGCGTGGTGAGCACGTCCTGCAGGAAACCCGTCAGTAGCTTGCGGTCTTCTTCCTGTCCGCAGAGACGGGAGACGAGGGGAAGGGAGAAACAGGGAGTTTGTTTTGTATCATATCTCTACAAAATTTCATTATTAACTTTTCCATCAGCTTAATCCACTGGCGCTCAATAAAAGCTACTTACTGGAAAAGGCGATGTTGTGAGTGATTAAAGTCTACTCGCGGGAAGTATCCGGCGTTGCCCGGGGAAAAATATATTTCAAAACTTCTCTTAAAAACACAAGAAAAAGTTATAGAAAGTGGGGGGTAAATAGTTTATCTAAAAGGTTTCCAAAAATTGTCGACCTCACCCCCCTCAAAAAATAATTTATCCCCGCGTAGGCATGTATACCTACATACCCTACATACAATAGAGTGAGTAGTATCTACCGACTCTATAGCAGTAACTATTAACTTCTACAGTAGTATCTAATGACTATAGTAGTACCTACTGAATCTATAGTAGTATCTATTGACTCTATAGTAGTATCTACTGACTCTAGCAGTATCTGCTGACTCTATAGCAGTATCTACTGACTCTATAGTCGTTACTACTGACTCTGCAGCAGTATATACTGACTGTCGTGGAATCTATTGACTGTAGTATTATCTACTGGCGAAAGTAGTATCTACCGACTCTATAGCAGTAACTACTGACTCGAAAATAGTATCTACTGTGGTATTTACTAACTGTAGTCGTATCTACTGACTTCATAGTAGTATCTACTGACTGTAGCAGTATTTACTGACTGTAGTGGTATCTACTGACTGCCGTAATATCTACTGACTCAATAGTAGTATCTGCCGACTCTATAGTAGTATCAACCAAATCAAAAGTAGTATATACTCACTCTACAGTAGTTTCTAATGACTACAGTAGTATCTACCAACTCTACAGTCTTATATATCGCCTCTATAATAGTACTATCTTCACTGAGTGTAGTGGTGAGGCCTAGTCCCGTGCAGTCCCCGGCCTCGCCTAGACTGCGCGGCCGGTCGAGGTGGCACCTTTGCAGGTTGGGGCTAGGCTACTACCCCCCCCCCGCCCGCTCTACAATAATATAATCTAAGGACAAGAATAGTAGTATCTACCGACCCTATAGTAGTCAGTGCACACATTGGGGAGAAGAGGACATCACACTGTGAAGAATTTACCTCAGCGTTGTGTATTGTTTTAGCATTTTTAACGCGAATGAGAATTGCCCTCACCGATCGCGTGTGTGCGTTGCTAGGGCAACCACCACAGAGTCGGCTTTCTCGCGCATGCGCAGATGCGTGCTCTAGCGCCACCTTGTGCTTATAAAAGGGAATAAATTGTTAATTTAACGACTTTAAAGTTGACAGATGTGAAATACGAATAGCGCTTTCATGTCCCGGGGCATACGGCGTGGTATTCGCGTACTTTTTCGATAGGGAAACCCCACAGTTTGTCAGTTAAAAATGTCACATGGTACCCGCGCAGACAGACACGCAGACACACATGCAGACAGACAGCCAAAAAATGACTTTTATAGGTAAGATATGTAAAGACAGATAACCCATAACCCTCAACTCAACCCCAAACACCACCCTGACCATGGGCTGACCACGACTGTGACCCACCCTTGACCTGACCCTGACTCGTGACCAGACCCCGACTGGTGACCCGACCCCAACGAGTGAGCTGACCCCAACTAGCGACCCGACCCCGACTAGCGACCCGACCGTGACTAGTGACCCGATCGTGACTAGTGACCCGACCCCGACTAGCGACCCGACCGTGATTAGAGACCCGACTGTGACTAGTGACCCGACCCCGACTAGCGACCCGACCGTGATTAGTGACCCGATCGTGACTAGTGACCCGACCCCGACTAGCGATCCGACCGTGATTAGAGACCCGACTGTGACTAGTGACCCGACCCCGACTAGCGACCCGACCGTGATTAGAGACCCGACTGTGACTAGTGACCCGACCCCGACTAGCGACCCGACCGTGATTAGAGACCCGATCGTGACTAGTGACCCGACCCCGACTAGCGACCCGACCGTGATTAGAGACCCGACCGTGACTAGTGACTTGACCCCGACTAGTGACCCGACCCCGACTAGTGACCCGACCCCGGCTAGTGTCCCGACCATGACTAGTGACCCGACCCTGACTGGTGACCAGACCCTGACTGGTGACCAGACCCTGACTGGTGACCCGACCCCGACTGGTGACCCGACTGTGACTAGTGACCCGACCCCAACTAGCAACCCGACCCCGATTGGTGACCCGACCCCAACTGGTGACCCGACCCCAACTAGCGACCCGACCCCGACTGGTGACCCGACCCTGACTGGTGACCCGACCCCGACTGGTGACCCGACCCCGGCTAGTGACCCGACCCCAACTGGTGGCCCGACCCCGACTGGTGACCCGACCCCAACTGGTGACCCGACTGCACCCCAACCTGGTTGTAGCAGGTGAGGACCCCTGTGGCGTAGATGGGCACCGTAGCCTTGGTGAGGATGGGGTCCTCCATGTTGGGGAACGACTCTGAAGACAAACGCAGAGACCACGAAGCCCAATGAGGACTTCATCATCATCGTCGTCATCATCATGAGCAGCATTGTCATCAGCAATGAACAATCCACCACTGGATGAAGGCCGCCACAGACAATCACTGCACCACCCCGTCCGCATCATGAATTGCAATGCTGCACACACATACACTGCCGCGTACGAGCGAGCGTCAGTACCCACGATGCACCTGGCAAGCGAGCGTTAGTACCCACATCACACCTGAAGGGCCAACTATCTACCCACAATGCACGTGGCGAGCAACCGTCTTGTACCAACAATGCACCTGGCGAGCAACAGTCTGTACCCACAATGCACCTGGCAAGCGATTGTCTGTACCCACAATGCACCTGGCCAGCGCGCATCCATATCCATAATGCACCTGGTGAGGAGCCGCCTTTATCCACAATGCACCTGGCGAGTGTGCGAGTGAGCAAGCGTCCGTACCCACGTGCTCCTCGGAGAGGCGCAGCAGCTCCTGGAACTGCGGCTTCACCTTGGTGTTGGTGAACGTGCGGCCGAACGTGCGGCACAGGCGCCAGAAGAAGCGCGAGAACTCGTGCACGCTCACGGCCGACGTCACCGAGATCTTTCCCATCATGGCGATGAGCCGCGGCAGCCTGCGCCAACGGACAAGATCAGAGCTGTCGGCGAAAAGCACACAGCGGTGTCTTAAAGTGCTGTGCGGTGATAAGAGACACTCATGGTTGGTGAGCGTTGGTGGTGAATGATGCTGTAATGCAGTCCGGCAAAAACAACCCCCTACCTCCTCGTTGGTGACGGACAGCAACGCTGTGGTGGGCAGTGGCCTGGGGGGAGGGCCAATTAAGATTGGCCATTCCCCTCATGGCGTTTGTGACCACCACAGCGGCCAAATGGGGGCTCTGGATGGGTGCGAGGGGCTGGCAACCCCTCCACCTTCAATTAATTACCACCAAACCACGAATATTTTTTTTATTAATAAGCTTGTGCCGGAGTCACATGTTATGCATGCCGATGATCTGGTAATTGCCGCTCACTCAGAGGAGGCGTTGGAGGCGCTGCTGTTGAACCTGGAGCTTGCCACTAAGAGGTGGGGTCTTACCATCAGCCCCACCAAAACTAAGCACCTGCCTGGGTATGATGTGCCACCAAACACTCCACCCCCACAACTTCCAATTGGTGATGGGGCAGTTGTAGAGAGAGTGGAGAGTTTCCCATACCTGGGCAGTGTGCTCATGACTGGCTCCGATTTAACAGCAGAGGTCTCACTCCGAATAGTCGAGCGGCATTATCTTTTCATCGGTTACGTGACGCTGTGTGGAACTTACCTGGTCTGTCGCTCCGCACGAAGCTTCAGGTCTTCTTGGCCACGGTCATTCCCTCCCTTCTCTACCCTTGCGAAACGTGGACCCCCCTAATGGAACATCTTCGGTGGTTTCAAACATTTATGCTGGCCTGCCTACAATCCATCCTGGGTTTAACCAAGCTGGATTGTGTGAGGAGCTCACAAATCCTTGAGCACCTCCGGCAGGCAAGGTTGCGTTGGCTGGGTCATGTAGCCCAGCCACCGCATGCCTAAACAGCTTTTGTTCGGCCGGATCGAGGAGGCTAAACAGGCGTGGCACGGGCTGGAGAAAAGATGGAGTGATGTGGTACAAAGGATGTGGAGCTGAGTGGACTTGCCGATGACTGGTACCAGCGGTGTCAAGATCGGCCTCTGTGGAGGAGGCTCGTGAAGAACGCTACTGGACAATTGGAGGCAGTCGCCCTCCAACAACAACGGAGGGCGGAATAGCGATGCTCACAACAACGAGCAGAGCGCTGTGTGGCTACAGCACAGCAGGTTGGCACAGTAGGGGCACAAGTGGTGCATCAGCCAGTCATCTCGGTCGTCTCAGTCAGTCGGCCCGTAGCACCTGGGTCTGCCCCGTGACCTCCTGCCAGCAGGCGTTCGACACTTCACGTGGCCTCAACGTGCACATAGCTTGGCACAAGCGTCGTGGTGACGACACCGCCACTTAGTGGCGAATGGCGGTTGTTGTTGTTGTAATGCAGTGATGCACACTCACGGCCAGTGAGCGTTGGTGGCGAGTGATGCTGTAATCTGAGAGGAGAGGGTTATTGTCGGGGAAGTGACGGAGCTGGCTGCGTGCGTGCTGTGGTAATGTGGAGTGGACGCTCACAGCTGGTTGACCACCCAGAGCAGGCTGGCCCAGCCCGTGGTGCCACCTTGCTGCAGCTGGTGCTCGTAGTGGCACAGCAGCGACGCCAGGAGCTCGCGGCTCCCCACCAGCGTCGCCACGTCCTGCAGCAGCGACGCCGGGCGCGGGAAGCGCGTCACTGCTCCCCGCGATGCGCCCAGAACAATACAGACACACCCAGACACAGACACACACAGACAAAGATCCCCCATAGTGCTAGTAGCATGTAGCATCTATGAAGGCCAGCACGGCACACAAGGGGGTGGGTGGCCAACATTACGCCCGGCCGCCTTTGTCTCTCCGATGCTTCAAGCCTGTGGAGCCTACGCGAGCACCTATCAAAGGCAACATGGCACACGAGTGGGTGGTGTGGCCGGAAACCACGCCCGGCCGCCTTTGGCCCCTGAGTGGTGATGTTTGCACACCGTACTAGGTACAGTACTAATTTAAGCCTGAATCGACCTAGGCGAGGCCCAGGACCAGTTCAGATTTTCGCTACTGGTGTTGGACGTGAGTGGGAATTGAACTTGGGTCGCCAGATTCGAGACAAATGGGACACGCAGAGAGCCAGACAAACACACAGAGATGCGTCAGCCTGGACTGGTCACAGCACGAACCCTAAGTCCGTTCCTCATTGCTGCCAGAACCGGCGGCTACCCCCCACCCCGCACCCACCCCGCTCACACCCCCCCGCCTGCTCCCCCCCGCCCCCCCCCCCACCCCGTGCCCGCCCACCCCCCGGCTGGTTACCCTCAATGGGCGAGGTGGCGGGGCCCTGTCTCGCCGTCTCGGCGAAGGGCGAGTGGACGAGCGCGTGGGCGAAGAGCGGCGGGATGAGCGACTGCAGCGCCGTGAGGTAGAGGTGCAAGCGCCGCTCGTCCAGACCGTACTCGGCCTCCTGCACCGGGGGTCAAGGGTCACCGGAAGCACGGGGTTAGGGGTCGACGTGTGATTGACTGAGACGTTTCTTAAGGTTACAAAATTCAATGGTGATTTGGGAGGGAGGGAAGGGAGGAGAGGTGAGGAGAGGGGGAGGAAGGAATTGGATGCATCGTCGCATGTGGGGGCAGTGAATGTTAGGGGGAATGTTAGAGGGGGGCGGGAGTGTGGGGGGCTGGGTGAGGAGGTGGGGGGCTGGGGGGGGCCCAACGCACCCTCACCAGCGTCTCGATCCGGCTGAGCAGCGTGTGGAGGAGGTGCGGCTCCAGCTCTCCCAGCTCCATGGCCCACGCTGCGAACGCCGGCAGGAAGACCTGGTGCGTGGCGGACACCACGCGCTCCGCCGGGTCGCCCAGTGCCATCATCAGTAGCTCGAAGCCCTGGAGATCGGCGCCACCGGCGAGCAGGAGGGAGGGGGGAGGAGGGGGGAGGGGACGAGGCGGATGATTGACGGCGCGGTTGAGATCACGACCGCTGGATCATCTTCACGAGAGTTACCGTTCCTCCACATTACAGACGCACAGACGGACGGACGGACAGACACACAGACGGATGGACAGATACACAGACAGACAGATGGATAAACAACACATGGACGGACGGACAGACACACAGACGGATGGACAGATACACAGACAGACAGATGGATAAACAACACGTGGACGGATGGACAGACACACAGACGGATGGACGGGTCAGACACAGACGGGACTGACGAGCTGGGGGACCTGTGGGTACTTGTCGGGGTCGTCCATGTAGCCCATGAGCACGCCGAGGCTCTTGATCACCGCCTCCCGCACCACGTCCGTCTTGTCGTCCATCAGCATCTGCTGCAGCATGGACAGCACCAGCGAGCTGCGGATAACTCGCTACGCACACACGAGAGGGGAGGGGGGGGGGCATTGCGTTAACCATCATTAAAACTCGATAGGGTCGTTACAGAATAGCTACTGAACTTGATAAAGAACTTAGATTGGATCAAGGTTATCGTGAGCCCCCGCTACAGTATGCAGATAGCGCATTAACACTCTCAACCTCAAGAGTATCGCTCGGGAGACGTTGACGACTCCCCGCGATGAACGGTTCCCACGGAAGGACGGGTACCGCTCGCCGGGCACTTGGCTGCACGAGATCATGTGACCATGGGGGGCGGGGGAGGGGGGGCCGTGCGGTGCTCACCGGGAGGTAGGGGGCCAGCGCACCGCACGCCTCCGCCACCAGCAGACGCCGCTCCGGGTACTTGTGGTTAATCTGGTACACGCGCACACACACACACGCATACACACACAAATATACAAAGATCCCCCGCATAGCCTGTAAGTGGTGAATGTCCAGTGTGTGAGTGTGTGGTGTGCGAGTGGTGAGTGTGTGGTGTGCGAGTAATGAGTGAGTGGTGTGTGAGTGGTGAGTGTGTGGTGTGTGAGTGGTGAGTGTGTGGTGTGTGAGTGTTGAGTGTGTGGTGTGTGAGTGGTGAATGTGTGGTGTGAGTGGTGAGTGTGTGGTGTGTGAGTGGTGAATGTCCAGTGTTTGAGTGGTGAGTGTGTGGTGTGCGAGTGGTGAGTGTGTGGTGTGCGAGTAATGAGTGAGTGGTGTGTGAGTGGTGAGTGTGTGGTGTGTGAGTGGTGAGTGTGTGGTGTGTGAGTGTGTGGTGTGTGAGTGGTGAGTGTGGTGTGAGTGGTGAGTGAGTGGTGTGTGAGTGGTGAGTCTACAGTGAGATGCTCGCCTGCTCCCAGCACTGTGGCAGCAGCTCGGACTCCACCCTGGTGGGGCCGGCGTGCACCGCAAACGCCAGGCAGCCCGTCAGGATCATCCGCCTAGCGGGACAGCAGGCCCGCAACAGGTCAGGGGGTCAAAGCGAAAATCAACAAATATTCACCATCGTGATCATCGGCCATGATCAACCCACTGCTGGATGAAGGCCTCCTCAATCCGTCGCCACCTCTCATGATCGTCAACAACAACAACAGCCGCCATTCGCCACTAAGTGGCGGTGATGTCACCACGGGGCCTGTGCCAGGCCAGGCACTTTGAGGCTACGTGGAGTGTCGAAGCCTCGCTGGCAGGAGGTCCCGGGACAGGTGCCATGAGTTGACTGACTGAGGTGACCGGTAGACGTACCATGAACTTCAGAGCCACCTAACACCGGCACACAAGTCGATTTCATCTCTCCATCTCATTCGGTGGCCATCATCTCGGCTGGATTCCCACCCACTGGGGGTGTCAATCCATCGCTATACTCGACCATCGTCCGTCCCCCTTCCACCGGCATGTCCGGCCCAAACCTGCGGTACGTTCCCTTCTACCGGCGCTCCCCTTCCCCCCTCTCGGTCTGATCCCCCCAACATCACAAGCCTACGTGTTAAACTATTAACTTCTCTATGCTCATTTGCACCCTTTTCGGTTTCTGTTCCGGTTTTCTGATCCGTGTGGCACAACTGATTGAAAGTTTTGTGCTCACCTGTATGTACATTGAACTTCTTGCCTCATTTTCATCATCAAGCTCACCCTTGCATGAGCACTCTGCTCTCTTTCACCTCAAATGTCATCATTTCTACTCCGGTCCCATCTTCAATACCTGCCCTAGGTGCACAATCTTGTGCCATTTTAATTTTCAATGTTCGGGGGTGGGGGGGGAGGGGCTGTGATCGTGGGACCACCCACCTCTGTTGCTCGTCGGGCCTCTTGATGAGGTTGAAGAGGATGTGGAGGAGGCGATCGCGCTCCTTGTGGTCGGGGTGGAGGAACGCGGTGCAGAGGATGAGGGGGATCAGCTCCTGCCCAGTGGAGGGGGGAAGGAAGGGAGGGTGGGGGGCGGGGGGGTAGAGACCAAGACACAACGTAGATTAATTTAATGTGAGGGATGTTTTTGTGTACTCACAGTTGACCGAAATGAGAATATCAACTCACTCCACTTGAAAACCCAGTTCTCAAGTGGAGTGAGCCTGTGGGTCTCTATGCGAGTCCATTGGTCTCTCTGTGAGTCTATGGGTCTCTATGCGAGTCCATTGGTCTCTCTGTAAGTCTATGGGTCTCTCCATCAATGTACGGGTCTCTATGCAAGTTCATGGGTCTCTATGTAGGCGTATGAGTCTCTGCGTGAGTCTATGGCTCTTAGTGTGAGTCTACGAGACAACATCGCTGTGGATGGAGCCAAAACCCGGATTGGAACCCAGGCTCTGAGCGGTGCCGGCTCCACGACCTCTGACCCCGGAGCCACCCGGCTCGCATGGAAACGTCGCCTCAAGAGTAAAAATAAACACGCGAGGTCTGTTTGTCATTCCACTGCTGGATGAAGGTCTTCAGTTACATTCCATTACACCGTGAATAGTTTTTTTTTACGCTGCGGCAGGAAGCCGGAGAACCCGGAGGAACTGGGGGAGAAACAAACCGCACGCAGAGGGGCGTCCGGGTCAGGAACCGGACCCAGGCCCTTGCTGCTGCCGCTGCTGCCGCTGCCACCCCACGGTGACGACGACGGATGGGGAGCTCTGTTTGACGTTTGTCACCTGGTAGCGGTGGTGGCGACTGTGCACGCGCGTGTTTTTGCGTGGGGATCGGCGGCGCAGCGGTTAGCGCGCTGCACTACAAACTCAGCGACACGGGTTCGATTCCCGCTCACGGCCACCAACACGAGTGACGATTATCTAAAGCGGTCCTGGGCCTCCCCTAAGTTGACTCGGTCTCAAATGAGTACCCCGTGCGGTGTGTAAACATCGCCACAGGGGAGGCGGCCGGGCGCGGTGCTGGCCACCCACCGCCTTCGTGTGCCGTGCCGGCCTTCATTAGGTGCGCTGCTACTCGCTCACAGCACTTGCCCCAACAGTCTGCTAAGGCTGCACGGGGGATCTTTGTCTTTGTGTGGGGGGAGTGGTTGTGGAGAGACGGCCGCAGTGGGGGCGGCATACCGAGCGTGGTGCACCCCCCACACTCCCCCCCGCGCCCACCCCACTCGCCCTACTCCAGGTGCCTCGTCTCCGAGTAAACGTTGTCTACCCCGTTTACGTGTTTGTTATTTTACGGCGGTCTCTGTTTAAAGTTTTGGTTCGTTGCGTCGCTACCACGGTGGCTGCGCTCCTGATGGCCGTGCCGACCGGAGGGACTACGGTGTGGTGGGGGGGGGGGGCGGCTGGTAACCTCAACGCCAGCTGTTCACGGTGCACGGCGATCCGCTCGTGCTCTGCGAGGTTGTACCGGCCGTGAGATTTCAAGAACACGACGATGACGATCGCCAGCTTCATATATTCCAGGGCCCACCGATCCAATACCCCCTGGCCCCCTGCCCTCTTAGTACCAGTGGGGGGGGTCAGGGAAGTATTTTGAACTCACGATGACGACGGCGACAATGATGACGGTGAAGATGAGAGATGGTGATTGCGATCACCATCTTCTAGGAAGATGCTGGAATTTGCACAACATCAGAAGGTGACACAGCGAGGGCAAGGAGGAAGAGGGGGAGACAGGATGAGGAGGGCGAGGATGAAGAGGAGGTGCTCACCTCGCGCTTGGCGAGCAGCACGTTAGGCACGATGTGTGGGAGGCAGCGACTCAGCATCAGCAGGGCCCCCCGCTCCGTCCCGGGGATCTGAGACACCTGCAGCGAGGGGGGGGGGGTGTGGGCACACAGGGAAGGGGGTGGGGGTGAGAGGGGATGCTACGAAAGGCAATGCCACAGGAAAGCGAGGATGACCACGATGAGACTGTCTAAACTAGCTAGCACAACGACATCCACCACTCTCGTTCCACCATCACCCTCGCCACCCCGCTCACCAGCCCCCTCACCACACCGCTCACCAGCCCCCTCACCACCCTGCTCACCAGCCCCCTCACCACACCGCTCACCAGCCCCCTTACCACACCGCTCACCAGCCCCCTCACCACACCGCTCACCAGCCCCCTTACCACCCTGCTCACCAGCCCCCTCACCACACCGCTCACCAGCCCCCTTACCACCCTGCTCACCAGCCCCCTTACCACCCCGCTCACCAGCCCCCTTACCACCCTGCTCACCAGCCCCCTTACCACCCCGCTCACCAGCCCCCTTACCACCCCGCTCACCAGCCCCCTTACCACACCGCTCACCAGCTCGCTTACCGCACCGCTCACCAGCTCGCTTGCCATCCTTCTCACAACCCCGCGAGAGCAGTGATCGTCGCGTCGTGTGGATACTTTATTCACCCCAAGACTACGTGACCTGTTGGGGTGGGCGTGGAGGGGGGCGCTGTGACTTCGCAGCGAGCGTCTTGCCCGTGTGGGAAGGCCGTCAGCAGGGACCCACCTCGGAGCTGAGCCGGGAGGCGGGCGCCGTGCGGCACACGGAGAGGAGGGCCTGGTGGAACGCGGGGGGCAGCTTCCTGGGAAGACACACGCACACACACACACACACAAAGATTCCCGTACAGCCTTTAACAGACTGTAGGGGCAAGTGCTGTTAGCGAGCACCTATGAAGGCCGGCACGGCACACAAGGGGGTGGGTCTCCGGCAGGCCCAGGACCAATTTAGATAATCATCACCGGTGTTGGCCATGAGCGGGAATCGAACGCGGGTCGCCAGGATCGTAGCGCAGCGCGCTAACCGCTACACTACAGCTCCCTACAGTGTGTGCACACGCACGCACACACATGCACACGTAAAAAGGCACCATTTTCTTTGTTCGTATACCATCATTATTCAGTTGCTTCTGTGACTGACAGCACGTGAGCTATAAGCGTTATACATTGTAAGGTTGTAATGATTACAAGGCTCATGGTAGAGCTTGCACGCCGAGTGGACTGGAGTTGAACGGTCGAACTGGAAGTCCAGCAGGACACGGAATAAACGAGAGATGCGTGGACCGCGACTGCGCAGTCGCGGGGAAGCGATCGCTCGCGACGAGCGTCGCGTCGTGAGATCCGGCGCTGCGGCCGTCCCGGCCGGGGCGATCGTACCGGTCGGGTTTGTCGAAGACGACTTGGGGGTCCACCCTCGGCCCCCCGTTCCCACGGTCCCCAACTCCCTCCGGCCCGCTCGCCGCCGCCGCCACCGGAGCGACCGGAGCGCCCGTCTGAGAGGAGGTCGCGCCCTCCGACCCCTGGCCCGTGACCTCCGACCTCCCCGAGAGCTTGGCACGAGTGTCCGGTCGCTCGGTCGGCGGCTGAGAATGCCACGATTTTAAACCGTCAGCGACTCGACGTCTCTGCGACGTACGACGCGTGGGCGAGTCGGGGGGGGGGGAGGTCGCCAACGCGTTCACGTTCGAGTTGAACCGGGCGAGGCCTCGAGAGACCGGAAGTCTCATTCGCAAGAGTCATGCAGTAAACAAAATGACAACGGTCACGTGGCTTTCTTTTTGACGCAGCCGCTCAGCAAAGACCCCGAAGGACCCAAAAAACGCAATCGGCCAGCAACAAAAACAGCCCCCCTCGGACTGAAAGCTTTCGTAGACTGCAGGAATTCATATTCTTTGGGTCTTTCGGTAAACTTACGTAGATAGGTTCAAAGAAAATAACAAAAAACTACGACGTTTCGATCGCAACACAAGCGGTCGTCATCAGGAAAAGGGTCCTGATGATGAGTTGCGAGAGCTCAGAGTGTAACGCATTTCTTGAGTTGAGCGAGGCTATACGCAGAACCTGGGGAGATAAAGCGACGATGGGGAGGGCATTCCAGAGTGGAGCTCGCGACTCAAGGTCGAAGCAAAACGATCTCTTGGGGTAATGAGGTGAGGGGTGTGGGTAAATCACAAATGCGGATTCTGCAAAACATATGCAAATTAGGCTATAAACACACAACTATTTTTATTTGACAAGTTAAGGCCCACTGAGCTATGTAGCTCTTTTTCAATAGTGACCTGGCCACAAATGATAGCTCAATGAGAAGTGGATTATGATCACGTGGAAATTTACAGCAGCCAAATACTCTGAACACCTGATGTCGATTCTAAACATGGAGGGAAAACCGGAGGATCCGGAGAAAAATCCACGTGACCACGGGGAGAACATGCAAACTCCAAATACACAGCAGGCGTCTCGCCTGTATACCTGGCGAGGTAGTTAACATCTCCTAGCCCTACGTAGGGCGGGGACGCGTCGTTTGCGTCCGCGTGGGATACAGAGTCGCCGACCCTCGGCGAGTGTGGAGCGGCTTCTCGTTACGCCAACTCGCTCGCGCAAAAACACTTTCAATTGCTTGTCTCGGAAAAAACGGCTTCACTGGCAGCAATGACTGGACATTGGTTAAAACACTGCAGTTGTCCAGCAGATGATAGATGCTGCCCCCTCCTTCGCCCCGTTACCTGCTCATCACGGGGGTCCACCGCCTCCCCGCCACTGTGATCCCCCATAGCTCCTCGTGGGCTGGGGGCCGGGCTCCACTCGTGGGGGCTCTGCAAGGCCTCCAGGTCCCTGGGGTCAAAGTGCACAGACGTCAACGTTCGGACAATGGGGGGGGGAGGGGGTAGAGTCGGGGGGGGGGCACTGTCAGTGGGGGGTGGAGTCCATGGCGGGTGGCGGTTCTCACCTCTCGAGTTTGCGGATGTGCGCCGTCAGGCTCTGGTTCTCTCGGTCCAGGGTTCCGATCCTCCCCTGCAGCTCCTTGATGAGCGCCACGGAACCCTGGGAGGTACAGCACAACGGCCTCGCTGCAGCACGCCGAGGCCGGCTCACCCGCTCACCACCGTCACCGACCCCGGGACACGGACACCGGTGTGCGCGGCGACCGCTCCCACCGCTGCCCTCAGACTCCTTGCTTTCGCTAACACAGGAAATGTTTAACAAAACACGTCGCCATCAGGCAACCGAGCGGACGCCCAAAGCGTGCGGTCTACCCCGGGGTCCTCTTGCCCGTGCCGTCGACGTCACCAACAATGCCCCCCCCCCGCCCCCCACCCCCCGTAGCGTCCTCACCACGGCGTCGGTGTGGCCGGGTTCCTCCGCGGGGCCCACGCTGGCATCTGCGGTGGCGGCGCTGCCGTGCCGCGCCACGCACTCGCGGTAGAGCGAGAGGAGGTCGGCCGGCTTGGACACGTTGAGCCCCACGTCGTCCCAGTCGTCGAAATCCTGGAGGGGAGGAACGCGACGATGTGAGACCAGAGCGGAGCGCATCGCACCAACCGCACCACAAGGGACAAGGAACCGGCGCTGGACGGATCATTCCATCGTAGCACCGTGGCATGACGATGATGACAAAAATTACAATGACGACGACAATGATGATGACGACGGTGATGATGATGACGTCAACGGCGATGACTACGACGATGCGGCCGTCACCTGGTCGTCGTTCTCATCAGAGAAGGTGATGGAGCTCAGCTTGCAATTGTTCTTCAGCAGAAACTCGTTCACCAGGAAGTTGAGCGCCCTCTTCTCCAGCGGCCGAATCGGCTCCTGAGCCCCAGGAGGCGGACAAAGCGCGGGGGGGGCAGCTCGTTAAGGTAGCTCACCACCAAGACCCTGACAGGGCCACGTGAGTGGCTAGACCAGGGGTCAGCAACCAAAATAACAAGAACCGTTTTTTGTCAAATTCGGTAAAAAACTAAAAATGTCAAGCTCCGCAATGCACGTGGCGAATACGAGAGGGTTGCCAGGCCCCTGCAGCAGTCCCTTTAGATAGTCATAGGCCGAGGTTGTCCCGACTCCACCGCTCTCTCTCCCCACCCCCGCCTCCTCCTTCAAGGTTCACACATTGGACGACCTTTGCAAGAGTGACCGTGTGAATGGACGGCGTGAGTGCAGAAACGCTTCGGAGCGTAGCTGGGAACCCGTTGCGGGCGCGGCCGGCACGTCGCCGCTCACCTGCACCGCCGCCTCCCGGCTGTAGTTTGCCGGTTCCGCCGCAGGGAGCTCCGAATCTGCCGGGCGAGAGCAGAGGGGCGGCACGACGAACCCACGTGGCACAATCACTCATGCGGGCGGCAGTCACACGGCGACGGTACCGCCCCGTGGTGGGCAACGATGGCACGAGTGGCACGGGCTGCGGGCTGCGGCAATCCGACGGGCAGCAGAACCGCCACCACGGTTGCCGCGGTCACCACGGCCACCACGGTCACCATGACCACCGCGATCGCCACGACCACCGTGGTCGCCACGACCACCGTGGTCACCACGGTAACCGCGGCCACGACTCGTGCCACGACTCACAACGGCGCCGTCGTTTGACCCCTGAGCGACGCGACCGCCGCTACGGTCAGGGGTCAAAAGCCGCCCGACACGTCTGGGTGGTGGCGGGGCAGCGATTAACAGCGCTGCCCGCCAAGCAGAAGAGTCTGTTTGGGGTTTACGGGGCTCGGCAATAACAACAACAATAATAATAACAGTGGCCGTGTTCATCAAAATGGGGCAGTTTGGATTCGGTGAGATGGAGTTATTTCTCTGACAAACGGGAACCCGGCGGCCGCAGGCAGCATCAGCGCCACGCTGGCGGGCATTAACCAGGGCGGCCCGCAGGTTCCGAACCACGAAACCTCAACAAGCGGCGAACGCATCACAGCTGAGCCGCGTCGCCGGCCAATGCAACCGCTGCGTTGAACTCATCCCCCTTCCCCCCCCCCACCACCCCCCCGGTGTTTGTGGGCGTGGTGCTGCCGCCCGGCCGCGTTGCCGTCGCACCTGCCGCCTGCTCGGTGAGGTTGGCGCGCAGCGCGTGAATCGTCTCGTGGGCTTTCCGCAGCTCAAACTCCAACACTGGGCGAGCGCGGGGGGGAGGTTCGCAACGGCCGCGGTCGGGGGGTCGGGGCGCCCAGGTCGGGGGTCGAGGCGTGACGGGGGGGGGGGGGGGCAGGGACGGAGGGGGGGGACGTGGAGGGGCAGCGAGGGGACGGAGAGGGAGACACGGAAAGACGGGAACACGGGGCGTGCGTGGGACGCGACGATGACAGGAGGGACGGGCAGAGGGTGGCGATGGGGGAAGATGATCGAGAGTGCAGGATGCAAGGGAGGTGACAGGGGAGGGGATCAAAGGAGGGCGATGGACAATGGAGTACACGGAGATGCGGAGGTGAGCGGGAGACAAGGGAGGGGTGCATGACGGCAACGGCGATGAGGGAAGAGGGAGGCGGCAGAAGGGGGTTATGAAAAAGAGGAGGAGGAGATTCAGAGAAGGACATGGGATAACAAGGAGAGAAAAAGGAGAAAGCAAAAAGGAGAGTGAGAAAAATAAAACCAAAACCCGAGCTCCGGGTGCAGGCACGGAGAGCGCAGCACGACCTCGCACCGCGTCACTCCGCCTCACGCAGCACACCGCCTCACACAACCTCGTGCCACAGAGCGCTCACCACCAAGGGCGCGAACGTCAACCCAGCACACACCCCACCTCCACAAAAACAATCGAGCGAGCGATTTATTTCATAAAAAAATGTTCCCCGATTCTATCCCGACCACGCTATCGGCGTCGCGTTACGAGACCAGGAATCCACTCGGATATTTGGCACGGCAGGGGAAAGTGGCCCGCGGAATCGGACATCAGAGAGCGACTTGCGAGCTCTCTTTAAGTGACCTCTGCTCCACACGCAGTGGAGGGCGGCACCCTCCCCGTCACCCACGCCGTGACACACGGGGACGTCCGTTGTACGACAGCCAAGCTGGGATTCAAGCAATTTAAGGAGCGAGCCAATGCTGCCACTGTCAACGGCTTGGTGGTGGTGGTGGCGACAGTGGCGGCGGTTGTGGCGGCAGTGGTGGCGGTGGTGATGGCGGCGGTGATAGTGGTGAGGGTGGTGGCGGCGTTGGTGGCGACAGTGGTGGCGGTGGTGATGGCGGCGGTTGTGGTGATGGCGGTGGTGATAGTGGTGAGGGTGGTGGCGGCGTTGGTGACGACAGTGGCGGCGGTTGTGGAGATGGCGGCGGTGGTAGTGGTGGTGACAGTGGTGGCGGCAGTGGTGGCGGTGCCATGATTCTCAGCCGATTTAACCAATCAACGCAGGGGGCGCGGCCAACGTCAACTGCCAAGCCCAGAGCGGGCGAGACGATGGGATGCAAATTGTTGGCATGTGAGCAAAGGCAAAGATCTCCCGTGTAGGCTGGTGGGGCAAGTGCTGTCAGCGAGCACCTAGCACCTATAAAGGTCAGCGTGACGTACGAGCGGATGGTGTGGCCGGGACCACCGGTGCTTTTGTTTACGCACCGCTCCAGGCACTCGTTTAAGGCCGAGACGACCTTGTGAAGGCCTAGGACAAGTTCCGATATCGCTCACCACTGACGTTGGCCGGGCTCGTGGCGCAGTGAACACACGCACACACGAGCGCACACACGGGTGCACACGCAGTGATGCGTGCTGGGTAAATTCAAAAGCTGTGGGGAAGGGCGACTCAAGGTGATGGGGGGGGGGATAAGTCATCGTCAACCAGACATGGGTCTCCCCCCCGCGCCCCCTCGAGTCGTCGCTCCCGCACGCGAGCCGATGAGCACGTCGCTCCGTCTCCGCGGCGGACGTCATCCTGGGCCGCCGCTTCCTCCTCTGGCTGCCACTCCCTCGCCAGTCTCGTCCGCGAGCCGCCGTCTCACCACGAGTGCCCACGGACCGCTCGTTCTGCGTCACCGCGGTGCCTCCACCACCGCGCTTGTGCTCTTCTCCTCGGCCCCGAGCGTTCACGCCAGCCGTGCATCTCCCCTACGCGTCTTTGCGCTCTCTCTACACGGACGTATTTATTTGTATATCTTTAAGTGATTTGTTACCTTTCCTATACTTTTCACTCCTATCGTGTACTTCGTGCTGTAACGTTCTGACCCGCCCCATCTGGACATCTGAGAAAAAGAGCTTTATAGCTCATCGGATAACTCTAGTATAAATAAATATTCATATGATGTATAAGCAGGTGTATAGCCGAGTACACGCACTCTCTGTATGTGTACAGCCCTTGTGTCAATCCACTGCTGGATGATGCACCCACCCCCCCTCCGCCAAGCTGTGGGAGAGGTCTTTGACCCGGCGGCGGTGGTGGCGGCGACGCTGCTGCTGCTGCTTACATGGCTGCTGGCTCTGATCCAGCACTGTGGAGGCAGCAGCCAGGGGTTGGTGGATCACCGCACTAATGTTGTGAAACTCCCTTCTACCCGTGGGTGGGCGTCGAGGAGGAGCCGTACCCTGGTTCGCCAGAAGGCAGTACAGCTAGGGGACTGATATCCACCTGTTTCCATCTGTACGGGGATAGTGTTGTCCGCTCGCACGCGTAGGTTTTCTCTCACTTGTATAATAAACACAACTCATCATTCATTGAAAACGTCTAAAGATAAAATGTCAATGCAGCACAAGGATCCTCCTGAAAACGACTCCGCGTGGCTTTCCTGGACAAACAAGTAAAACTATTAAATATAAATATATAATTCCAAATCACAATTCGAAATTCAGCACCCTGGTCAGCGTGGCAAACGCGTCGACAGCGCGGGGGGCGTGGGAGTGCAGAAGCACAGCGACAACGACGCGCTGGCGCTCACCGGCCACGCGCTCCTCCGTCTCGCGGCCTCCGTCGTCCGAGTAGCGAGTGAAATCCAGCGAGTCCAGCGTGCTGGCGCTGCCGGCACGGTCTGTCCGCCGGGGTCACGGCGAGGCGGGGGGGCAGAGGGTGGAGCAACATCAGCGATTCCTCACGGTCAGCGATGGACGACCCACTCGCTCGATCGCCGACCGATCGTCGGCACCGATGTATGTACGTATGTCGAACTTCCTTCGCGCCGTACGTAGCCAACGGTGCTGAACGTAACGTTGCGATGCTGTCTCGACGGGCAGCAGCCTGCCCAGAAGCACTTGCCATCCATCGCCATCACCACCGTCGTTATCCCCGTCACTGCCACCGCGATCACACAGGAATCTCAAGGCATCTGAAATCACATGCTGCTATCGTCGTCATCATCGTGACCCGGTCCATCACCATCGCTTTTACCGTCACCACCAAAATCGCTGTTTGTGTTTCGCCGTAAAACATCACCACCATCGGCATCGTCGAGATCACCGTCACCCGCACCAGCTCCGTCACGATCACTCAATCGTGGAATCAAGGTAGTGAGTCGAGCCGTGAGACCAAGTAATCAAATCACGAGGGCACAGATGGGACGAATGTCTGCGATCGCAGCCCGCGTGCGTGCGTGACCCCACGGTAACGTGATTTGTGAGCGCCGGGCCCAGCATGGAAATCGCCTTCTGGCCTGGGTTTACAATCCATTCAGAGGCGGCGAAATTAATTTACGCAGCGGGCAGACGAACACGCGGATTTAATCACAGCATCACCCGGCATCACGGGATGCTGCAAAGACAGAGACCCATGTTGCCTCTAACAAACTGTAGGGGGCAAGTGCTGTTAGCGAGGAGCACCTATGAAGGCCGGCACGGCACACGAGGGGGTGGGTGGCCAACACCACGCCCGGCCGCCTTTGTCTCCCCAACGCTGACGTTTACACGCCCCAAAATCGGTTCAGAGATTCGCCGTGAGCGGGAATCGAACTCCGGTATCGGCTATCCAGGTCGCGGCGCAGTGCGCTCACCGCACCGCCACCGCTCCCCACAACACGCACAGACAAAGAATCCTCTTCCCTCACCTATATAGCCTCGACAGACCGTCGGGGCAAGTGCCTACGAGGGCCAACAGGCCCACCACCACCACCCTCCCCCCTCCTCACTCACTGAGCACCCCCGGTGCTGCCGCTGCTGCTGCTGGCAGTAGGCCGCCCGCGTCCCTCGCGAAAGCGGTGGCGGGGGGCCCCGCGGGAGGGCGCTCGAAGTTGCCCGGGTTGGAGAAGAAGTCGCGCAGCCGGGGCAGCTCGCGGCCGCTCTCCGCCATCTCCGTGTGCAGCTCGAGAGCGGTGAGCAGCAGCTGCTCCTGCAGGAGCCGCTCGGCGAGCGCGTCCAGCGAGACGGGGGGGAGGCCGCCGCGACCCGCCAGCTCGCCGGGGTCGCAGTGCCAGGGGGCGGCGGCGGCGGCGGCGGCGGGGCAGGAGCCCGAGAAGGAGGAGGCGGCCGAGAAGGCGGACGGTGGAGGCGACCGATGATGCTGCTGCTGCTGCTGCCGCTGCTGCTGCTGAGGGGAGATCGGCGAAGCGGGAGAAGAGGGCCTCTTGACGCGGGACGCGGGGCTCTGCTGAGCGGGTTCCGAGGCGGGAGCTCGAGGGATCCTGGACCCCGCTCCTCCTCCGCCTCCTCCTCCGCCTCCTCCGCCGCCGTCTGAGTCGTTGTCCGAGTCGTCCGAGTCGCTGAGGAAGGGGTTGATGCTGCTGCTGGTGGCCATGGCGCCGCGATCAGCGGAGCCGCAGGCGACGGGGCGATTCCCTCACGGACGATCGATTTCGGCCAACGCGCAATTTGCTCGAACGATTTCGGGAGTCGACTCCTTTTCAATGTTTCCCTCTCTGCGATGGGGCGCGGTGCGTGGTGGCGGGGTTGGCGGGGAGTTCCGACGGCTCCATGAGCAGTGCGGGAGAGGGGGAGGGAGGGAGCCGCTCAGCCGCCCTCGGCGATTATAATCGCGCGGGGTGCGAATCGTCAGCGCGTGAATCGATTTTGTTTAAATTACGTAACGGAGAAATCGAATCGTGGCCAGTCAGCAGATAACGGGACCCGCTGCTGAGTTGGGGGGGGGGGCCTGGAGCGTGGGGAGGGGGGAGTGGGTGGGGGCCTGGGGAGGGGGAGTGGGTGGGGGCCTGGGGAGTGGGGGGCCCAGGGCCTGGGGAGGGGGGAGTGGGTGGGGGCCTGGGGAGGGGGGAGTGGGGGGCCCAGGGCGTGGGGAGGAGGGAGTGGTGAGTGGGTGGGGGCCTGGGGAGTGGGGGGCCAGGGCGGGGGGCCCAGGGAGTGGGGTGGGGGGCGGGGGAGTGGGGTGGGGGGCGGGGGAGTGGGGGCATCGGAAGTGGAGTTCCCGGTTGAGATCCATCCGAGCGGAAAGCGCCTTTCCACAAGATCAGTGCTGGATATGAATCTCCCAGACGACGATTCCTAAACCTTCTGATCTAGAAGAACAGAAAAACGACCCCCGGCATTGATACCAAACTAAAAGGTTTAAACTCCAGACGCACGCTGCTTAGGCTGCTACCAGAACAGCAGATTTACATCCAGATCCACCTGAAACACACGCCCGCCGTCACCGTTCCCACATCACGACCGTTCCACTGTGGTGGCTGCTGTTGATCACTGGCAGCTGCTGAGGTCAGACGCCCGGAGACCAACCAGGCAAGGGGTAAAGGCGCAGCCCCACAAGTGCTCGTCTTAAGCCACAGGTGGCGGAATGGCCTCCGCTCGCTGAGTCAGTGCGAGGGAGGCCCTGCAGAGATGTTAACTACCTCGCCTGGTATACACAAGGTCGTGGGTTCGATCTCGACCCTGACGACGCCTGTATACAGAATTTGGAGTTTGCGTCTCTCTCTCCCCGTGCTCGTGTGGATTTTTCTCCACGTCCTCCGGTTTTTCCCTTCCACATAAGAATCAACATCACGCGTTTAGAGTATTGGCTGCTATACATTTCCACGTGAGAATCTACTTCCTTGAGCTTATTTCTGGGCAGGTCGCTTCCGAATAAGAGCTAAACGTATCGCTCAGTGCTCCTTACCTGGTAAAATAAGAAACAGTTTACAGTGGAATGTGGTCTACTCTTCCAGCGCTTCACAGAAGTGTTGGGAGGAGGTGGGAGCACCGAAACTCGGCGCGACATCGTGTCGAAACGTATCTCGCTAAACTCACAAATTACCATCGCTCATTTATATTCTCATCTCTTCCGCCTCTCCGATCTGTGTGGAGTCCATCCCAACGAGTCACTCCGCCAGCCATCGCCGTCCGCCAGTCCTCGTGCCGCAGTCACGACATTCACAAATCTTCGACTCTCTCGCACGGTGACAGAAAACACGTGCAGGCTCTAACAGCCGATGTCGACGTCTGCTGCTGGCCACGACGAGAGGGCTTTAGGAGAGAGTTGGTGCCGAGTCCGCTGTTACCCTCCTCCGTTGAAGGCGCGCAGAGAGGACAGCGGCCTGCTCCACGGTCCGTAGTTTGGGTTGCATGCCCACAATAGCTCCGTGTCTTGTCTGTAACGTGTTTCCTTTGGGTTGCTATCCCAATGGGTTTATGTATCTGCCTGAGTCACGATGACTGTCTGTGTATCTTTATTAATCTGCGTATGTCTAGGTGTCTCTCTGTCTCCATGGACTTACTGCATGATCCACCGATTGGGTTGCATGGCCACAATCGCACAACTGACTTGTCTTTAATATATATCTATGGGTCTCTGTATATCTCTGTGGGTCTCTATGGGTCTCCTATATGGACCATCGTGTTGCGTTGCATGGCGACAATCGCACTCCCGTGGCTTGCGTCTTTCGTTTTCCACATCTCCCAAATCATGCGTTAGAATAGACAGCGCCGCCAAAAGTTCCTTCCCGAAACCGCGACCATGGAAGGGCTCGCGATCCCACGGGGCCACCTGCCGGGACACCGCAGCGGCTCGCTCGCACCCAAGTCAACAGCAGCGGCAGCGGCATCATCCCCATCGACAGACGGAGGCTCTTATTCTGAAATGGCCGAGCATCTGAACGAAGCCGGGGGTTTATTTGTGCATCATCCTTAGCGGGGCTCACGACACTGAAACCAAAACAAACACTCGCCCGCTCATTAGCAGAACACCAGCAGCCCGTCGCGTAAACATTGTAAGTGGGGATTTTTTGTTGTTGTTTAAATGGTCTTGATCTCGGATGGATTTAAATGACGAACTCGGGGGGGGAAATGTTCACGTCAGGTGGTGCTGTGTTGCGTGTCACCGGCCAGAGGCCCCAGCAGAATGGTGACAGGCAACTCGAGCGGGCTCACAAGTGCTGGTACCGGTTAGCCCGAGACCCCCCCAACCACAAACCCCCCACCCTTCCCTAACCCCCACCACCAGAACTCAAGCTGAAGTAAAACCCACGCTGGCAACGGCAACAGCAAAACGCGTGGCGCCTCCATGAACGTCCCAGTTACTGCGGCCTTTATTTGATCAAATCCTTTATTTGTCATATCCCCATTGGCGCGGCAAAGCCTCGCTTGGTCTCGGGCCTCCTGCAGCCGGGAGCGACGTGGCTGCCATGCGTGACCCCGGCGGGCGGGGCACGGTGGCCCCCTCCCCCCGCGGTAGCCCCCTCCCCCTGCGGTAGCCACCCCCCTCCCTCCTACCCCAAAGTAGCTCCCCACCTGGCAGTAGCCCCCCCCCCCCGCACGGTAGCCCCTCCCCCCCCCCCGCGGTAGCCCCCCCTCCCCCACCTATCGTCACGTGTCCTTCGCGCCACCGTTCAACGCAACGGACGCCGTGAATTCGAATCCAGCCGTGGGGCAGGAGAAGCCGACTGCTGGAAGCAATGGGGCCCTTGTCGGGGCCAGTCACCGATGGGACGAGGTCTTTGTGTGAACCGCCTCGACGTTGAAGGACCCTCGAGTCCTAAATGTGCCTTCCTTTGGCACTGACGTCGTGCACACACTGCCATCGCCACGAATAGAACGGCATCACAAATGAAGTGATTAGCAAGTGAAATTTTCAGCATTGGGATGTTTTCACCGATGCCAGTTACACTGTGTGGTTTTATTAGCCAATGGTTGGAAACCAAGAGACCCCAGAGGAAACCCATGCAGGGAGAGAACACATGCTGCACGCACAACAGCTTCCCGCTTCGGGAATGGAACCCAGAACGTTACTTCAGTGTGGTACACGTGGCACCACTACACCACCCTGCCAACTCGAATATGGGCAGAGCTCTTCCCCAGAAAAAAACTTTCAAACTTTAAACCCTTGGCAGTCTCTGCCACCCCACGTCATTCCGTCTTCAGACGGGCCCCAGGCTCCCCACTCCGGCTCTGCATGAAGTCCGCGTAGGCGTACGCGTCCGATGGGGGCTTCTGCGGGCGGTAGGGCCCCTCCGGGCCCTTCCTCGCGCGATCCGGGTCCCCCGTAGCCCCCTCGCCACCACACATGACTCGGAATTCCGGGCAGCGCTGGGCGACCTCCATGAACGCGGCTAAGGGTCACAGGGCAAGAGTTCATCGTTGTCACAACCATCATCATTTTAATTGCAATCATATTCCGTGTTTTTAAGTATTAACATCATAAGCAAATAAAGTATTAAAGCTTTCGTGACTGCATAAAATTACTCATTGGTTTTTTCGGTAATGTCACGTATGTAGAAATACAATAAAATTATATTAAAACAAAAAACAATCACGACGTTTCGATCACAACACAAGCGATCTTCATCAGGTGTCAAGAACAAATCACGGAGGTAAATACAACAAAAAGATGAGAGACGAGAATTCAACAAACCTGAAAAAACATTATGTGAAGCACATCCAGTCAGGCCAACAACACAGTTAGACACTTCCTGGCGGACCACGAATTTCAGAAGAGTGTTAAATTTCGTGTTCAACCTTTGGATTGCACATACCAGCATAGATAGAATGAAAAACACGAGGTACACGGTCAGTAGAAATACATATACAAGTCCACCAAGAGGTAAGGAGGGAGGAAAGACGGACAGGGAGGCAGAGAGAGAGGGGGGGGATGAACAGAAGCTTAAATAGGAAATACGGTTGGAGGGGGGGAGGGGCTAGAGCGAGAGCGGCAGCTCAAACACGCACATCTTACACATACAAAACGGCAGCTCAAACACGCACGTCTTACACATACAAAACGGCAGCTCAAAAAAGGACCACCTCTTGTAAATACAAAACGGCAGCTCAAAAAATGACCACCTCTTGTAAATACAAAACGGCAGCTCAAAAAGGGCACATCTTACACATAATTACAACGGTAACTTCCCCGTAGAAGTGTGATAATACAGTATTAAAGCTGCCGTTTTGTATGTGTAAGACGTGCGTGTTTGAGCTGCCGCTCTCGCTCTAGCCCCTCCCCCCCCTCCAACCGTATTTCCTATTTAAGCTTCTGTTCATCCCCCCCCCTCTCTCTCTGCCTCCCTGTCCGTCTTTCCTCCCTCCTTACCTCTTGGTGGACTTGTATATGTATTTCTACTGACCGTGTACCTCGTGTTTTTCATTCTATCTATGCTGGTATGTGCAATCCAAAGGTTGAACACGAAATTTAACACTCTTCTGAAATTCGTGGTCCGCCAGGAAGTGTCTAACTGTGTTGTTGGCCTGACTGGATGTGCTTCACATAATGTTTTTTCAGGTTTGTTGAATTCTCGTCTCTCATCTTTTTGTTGTATTTACCTCCGTGATTTGTTCTTGACACCTGATGAAGATCGCTTGTGTTGTGATCGAAACGTCGTGATTGTTTTTTGTTTTAATATAATTTTATTGTATTTCTACATACGTGACATTATCATAAGCAAAGTTATCACCGCATTGTTACAACCATCATCATCATTACAACAATCATCATTGTCATTACCACAAAAACCATCATCATAATTCTTTGGGTCTTTCGGTAAAGCCACGTAGATAGAACAAATAATAAAAATTATTATTACCGAAAGACCCAAAGAATATGAATTCCTGCAATCACGAAAGCTTTAAGTCAAGATTCATCATCATAATAATATTACCCTGACCACACTGGCCAGCCAGACACCAGCCCTACCCCTAACTCTGCTCTCCGTAGCTCAGCATCCAGGCCCCTTCGGTCCACTGGACCTGGTGCGGCTACACTCCCTACACACGTGATGGCTACGCAGTTATCATAACCCTCGCTATACAACCAGATGCTTGCCCTCCCTGTAACCCTAACCAGACGCCCCAAACCCTGCTATTGACTCCAACCTTAACCCCAACCATCGCTCCACCTCTGGCCCTTCACCTTGCCCGCTTTTTAGTTGTTGTTTCTTATTCACTTCTCACGGCAGTGCCCTCTGACCTCCACCATGGCAGCTCACGGTGTCAAATCCGATGGCAAGGAAATAGCCTCCAAACGAAACTCGGGGTAAAAAAAGACCCCCCCATAAACCTCAGATAAACACCCCGCTTTCATTTGCGGTCGTCACGAATTATCACGAAGTTAAACAACAACAAAAATCCCGGGTATCAGCAGTCTTCGTTTCCAGCTCATTAAGCGCGCTGCCCGCTACAGTCTAAACATTTGGCTGTCATTGGCTCAAAAAAAAAGTGGGCACATTGGGTGAATTTAAATCGCTCGGGCAAGAGAGAAAGACCCAGTCCCTGATGGCCCGAAGTTTACTGCTGCTGGTGACTGATAAGTTTTATTTAGTTGGATGAAGTTTTTTTCCTCCCAAGAGGTTTATCGTCGTCGTCGTTACGATCTACCCGCTGGCAGATGAGGGCCTCCCTAAGCCGTCGCTGACTCCCACGGTGCCGCGCTGTAGCAGTACATTCGGCGCTCACGCCGGAGATTATTTCATCGCTCCATCTCCGCATTGGGCGATTTCGCTCCGCTGGCGGTCCCGGACGTGACGCGTCCTCGGCTCGGGCCCCGCTCACTTTTTCGTCGCAGTCGTAACGACGTTGCCTCCAACTTGCACGGGGTGCGACTGTTGTATGTTTGATCGTCTGTCGAGACGAAGGCTGGAATGGCAGCCAAAGGAGGGGAACGCACGCGAGAGGACGTCTTTGGCAAAGACGAAGCCATGAGCTCCCTTCGATGGATGGATCGTGGCATCGCAGACCCGCGGAAGATGCCCGTGCATTGGGGAGGCCTTCATCCAGCAGTGGATTGATCATGGGAGTTCATGATTATGAACTCCCTAATAACAATACAGCTTAATATCACAGCGCGATTCATATTGGTATTGGATCTTCTTCACGGATGCGTAGACACCTTCAAGTTGAGTTGGGCAGCGAAGAGTCAAGTCAGAGTTGTCTCCCGATTGCTTCCGTCGTGTTGGCGAAACGAAATCAACTTTAAGCGTGCAACGAGGCAGTGCTCGAATGTGGAAATTACACATTCCCGTGGCGAGGACCTCACCGTATGTGACGGCCCCCGTGTGGTGGGGGTCAGCGGCTCGGAAGAGGGCGATGGGGTCAAAGGGCAGGTCAGGCCCCAGGGTGGCGTGCAGGGCCCCCAGCACCTCTTCCTGCGTGACCTCTCCCTGACCCCGAGCATCGTACACCTGCGGGGTCACGCGGCCACGGAGCGAGCGAGCCGGGTCAGCGAAATCACAAATTGATATTTTTTTACATCTCATTGCAGCCGGTGACCATCGGTAGCGGAGACCTCAAAAGGCTTGAGTGATTGTCCGCTATCAGTGGCAGCAATTGCAAGAGTGGGGAGCTAACAATACACGCACGTGCAGCATATAGCGCTCCTGTGTCAATCCTCTAACCCCAACCAGATGGTCAACCAACCCTAGTACTCGTCCTCCAAGCCACCCTCACCAACTCTCCACTCGTACGAGGCCTCCCAAATTAACGAGCCAAACGGTCACCGGCCCTTTCTCTGCCATCAAACCTCACCGCTAACCCAGTGACCTAGAGTGGTTGCAGGATGGGCCCCAGTGCAAGGAGGGCAATGGGCCCCCGCTGTCCCTCTTGGGAGCCGGGCACGCGCCCGGCACGCCCCCCCCCCCCCCGACCCGTGGGCCTTTGGAATAAAATCCGATGAGTTATAAAGCTCTTTTCACAGGCCCTGGGTCGGGGGGTGTCCTCGATATCCTGGATATCTACCCCCAACGCCCTAACCCCTCCCCCACGCGTCGCTCGTCATCTAAGACTCAGGGTGGACGTTCTGCCGTGCATGCCCCCCGCTGGCGGCCGGGGTCACCTGGAAGGCGAGGTCCAGGGTTTCGTGGCACTGGGCGGGCCACACGGCGCGCACCAGGCCCACGAGCACCTCCCGGGCGTCCACGTGGCCTCGCGCCCCCTGCACCCACGGGGGGAGGGGGGGGGAAGGCACCAGAGGGTCGTTCGTAAGCGTCGCACGCGGGGGCAGGCCGCCGGCGTCCGCTCGCACAAACACTCCACGGGCCGGTGGTGAACCTGCGTCAAATTGCACCTCGCAGGGTCCACCCGCCTGACCCTGACCGACCCAGCCCAGGGCCGGCCGGTAACCACCCTACAAGGCTGGCAAGTGGCCATTCGTCTTGCGGGTTCGCGCCTCTCTCTACGGTGGCGCCCGCGCTCTCCGCCGTGCGTGTGAAGGTTTCGTGTTGAGAGCGGAAGACCTCCTGGAGGCCGGGCGACAGGGAGGTCAGAGACACCGAAGCGGCGGTGCTGAGACCCTGCTTGGGACTAAACCGGGTTCTCGAGTGAAGTGAGTTGATGGCATGAACCCTGCACACAAAGACAAAGATCCCCCATAAAGACTAAACAGACTGTTGGGGCAAGTGCTGTTAGAGAGCACCTATGAAGGCCGGCATGGTATATGAGGTGGTGGGTGGCCAACACCACGCCCGGCCACCTTTGTTTCCCCAGTGGTGATGTTTACACACCTCACCAGGTACTAATTTGAAGCTGAGTCGACCTAGGGGAGGCCCAGGAGTGGTTCAGACAATCGCCACTGGTGTTGGCCATGAGTGGGATTCAAACTCGGGTCGCCCGGTTCATAGGTCAGTGTGCTAACCGCAACTACACCACCGCTCCCCCCTAAACACTCACAAACACACTCACACATTCTCACAAACACACACACTCTCCTACTCGCACACAAACTGCACGAACCGTGCCCAAATTGGAGCTCTGACAACAGAGACAGATCGCTGCTTCGCGAGAGCCCCGAAAGGCGACGACAGCTTGGGGAAGCGTTCATCCAGCAGTGGAGAGAGATCGTGGCCGACGGCGTCCTGGACACTGACCGGGTCGAAGGCGGCGTGCAACACGCGCATGTGGGGGCCCTCGGGCCGCGCGAGGCACGCGGCCAGGTCACGTGGGGTCACGCGCAAGCCCCCCAGGGCGCGGACGCGCTCAGAGATCGCCTCCAGCTCGGGGATGGCGCGGTCCACCAGCAGCCTGTCTCGACACACGCGGGGAGACACGCGGAGACACACGGGGACAGGGAGGGAGAGAGACATGATCACTGGATGGACAGGTGGACAGACAGGTGGACAGACAGGTGGTGAGACAGGTGGACAGACAGGTGGACAGACAGGTGGACAGACATGTGGACAGACAGGTGGTGAGACAGGTGGAGAGACAGGTGGACAGACAGGTGGACAGACAGGTGGTGAGACAGGTGGTGAGACAGGTGGACAGACAGGTGGACAGACAGGTGGTGAGACAGGTGGACGGACAGGTGGACAGACAGGTGGACAGATAGGTGGACAGACAGGTGGACAGACAGGTGGACGGACAGGTGGTGAGACAGGTGGTGAGACAGGTGGACAGACAGGTGGTGAGACAGGTGGTGAGACAGGTGGACAGACAGGTGGACAGACAGGTGGACGGACAGGTGGTGAGACAGGTGGTGAGACAGGTGGACAGACAGGTGGTGAGACAGGTGGTGAGACAGGTGGACAGACAGGTGGACAGACAGGTGGTGAGACAGGTGGACAGACAGGTGGACAGACAGGTGGACAGACAGGTGGTGAGACAGGTGGACAGACAGGTGGACAGATAGGTGGACAGACAGGTGGACAGACAGGTGGACGGACAGGTGGTGAGATAGGTGGTGAGACAGGTGGACAGACAGGTGGACAGACAGATGGACGGCCAGGAGGACAGACAGGTGGACAGACAGGTGGACTGCAGCCTCCTCACTTGAGGCTCTGCAGCAGCTCCAGGAGGTGCTCTCTCTGGGGGACGCCTCCCGGGCCCCCTCTCGACCCGCTCCTCACAGGGGTCCGTGACACCTCTCCCGTGGGGGGCGCAGTCTCCTGCAGGGCCCTAAAAGGCCGGGGGAGGGGGCAGTGCGGGGGTGTCAATGTGATTCATGAATACGTATTTAAATGAATGAAAGTTACAAACATCACTTGCCACTGATGTTAGCCGTGGTCGGGAATCGAACTCTTATGCATGGTATCGGAGTAAAGTGTGCTAGCCGCTGCACCACCACTCCCCCCCAAAGACGATTAGCATGGTTGGCTACGTAGGGTGCGAAAGTTCAACACACATACACAACATACACAACATTCACAACATTCACATACATTCACATACATACACATTCACATACATACACAACATACACAACATTCACAACATTCACATACATACATATTCACATACATACACAGCATTCACATACATACACAACATCCACATACTTACACACATTCATAAACAGAACATACACATGCACACACATTCACATACATGCGAATTCACACGCACACGACGGCATCGTCACAAAGACAAAGATCCCCCGTATAGCCTGAACGGACCTTTGGTGCAAGTGCTGTGAGTAGCACCTATGAAGGCCGGCACGGCACACGAAGGGGAGGGTGGACAGCACCACGCCCCGACCGCCTTTGTCTCCCGAATGGCGATGTTTACATATCGCACCAGGTACTCATTTGCGGCCGAGTCAACCTAGGGGAGGTCCAGGCCCGGTTCAGATCTTCGTCACCGGTGTTGGCCATGAGCGGGAATCGAACTAGGGTTCAATCAAAGATTGATTGAGGTTGTGCGCTAACCGCTGCGCCACCGATCCCCACGCATACACACGCAGATACAGAGATACACACAGATACACACAGACACACACAGATACACACGCATACACACGCAGATACAGAGATGCACACAGACACACACAGACACACGCAGACACACGCAGATACACGCAGATACAGAGATACACACAGATACACACAGACACACACACACACACGCAGACACACGCACGCGACACACACGCAGACACACACAGACACACAGACGCACACACATGCAGACACACGCGAGAGTCAGGTGTGTGCGGCCCAGCTCACCTGTGCACCTGGGCGCGCAGGTTGTTCGCATACAGGTCCGGGTCCTTCCGCTCCTCCTCGCTGGGCGTGTACACTGGCAGGTACTGCTCGCTCACGAGTATCACGGACACAGTGGGTGTCTGGTACTACTCGCTCACGGGTATCACGGACACAGTGGGTGTCAGGTACTACTCGCTCACGGGTATCACGGACACAGTGGGTGTCTGGTACTGCGTGCGGGTATCACGGACACAGTGGGTGTCTGGTACTGCTCGCTCACGGGTATCACGGGCACAGTGGGTGTCTGGTACTGCGCGTACGCACCGGGTCTGTAAAGAGCAATAATAGTTCGTGCATGGCTGTAAGTGTTAATCATGACGTCGACTTGTACCGCCCTGAGCATCCACTCGCTCCCGTGTCTATGTGAGTTTAACTTCTTTTGCACCGTACGTAGCCACCCGTGCTAAGTGGAGGTGCGCTTGAAGGCAGGGGGACGCCTCCGAGACGCCAGGCGGAGTGGCCACGGACGAGCGGGAAGGCAGCGGCCACGCTCTGAGCTACTCTATATATGAAGTTGTTATCGGCCCAATGAACGATGTTTCGTGTCCATACACGTGGGAGGAAACCGGAGCGCCCCGAGATCAAACGCACGCGTGCGAGGGGGCGACGCTCTATCCCCGTACAGATGGAACGGGTGGGGTTCCACATTTGCTTTACTGCCTTCCCCGGGCGATCCACCAACCCCCGGCTGCTGCCTCGGCACGGCGGGCGGTGGACCGCACGAGGGCCGCCACGTGCGGCGTGCCCCGCCCCGGGCCGCCGTGCGTGCGGAACGTCACGCCGCGTGGCCGAGGGCGCTCGTCCAGCAGTGGAGCGATCGCGCGGCTCGCGACGGTGACGCCGATCGCTCGGGCGACGTTTTCGGCGCCCGAGCGATCGCCCCCGGGTTCGTGGCGCGGTGGCAGCGCTCCGGGCAGGACCCTCACCTGGATGAGCACGCGGCATCGCGGCCGGCACATGGTCAGCCACAACACCTTCATCCTGCGGGGGT